TGTGGTGAATTTCCAAACTGTGCCGACACGTTAAAAAAATAAAAACACCACCGTCTTCATTTCTCAGATTATTTTGCTGCATTGAATCCTGGGATATCCTCGGCTGGTAAGGATACATGGATGCATCCTCGGATTTCGACAGGAAGTAGGACGCATTCCTCGGCCGCATGATGAGGAGCCTTTGAATTGGGACAGTCCTCCGTGTGGGGCAGTGACGTATGCAGCCGACAAATGTGCACTCAGCCCCTGGACTGAGACACAGCCCTGTTTTGTTGACAACAAGCATGAATAATGTGATCACATGGAGACAGGTGTTACCTGGTGTTTGGATCAGTCAGGATGTTCAGCAAACTCTTCATCTTACTCAGGTCCTTCTTCCTGTCTGAAAGGAGAAACAAACACAATAAAACAAACAATGAAAACAAAAACAAACAATAAGAACAAACAAACAATTAAAACAAGAAGAAACAATAAGAACAAACACTGAAAACAAGCAAGAGCAAAAAACAACAAGGAAAACAAACAAGAAATGAAAACAAACTAACAAATAACAATAAGAACAAACAAAAACAAACAAGAACAAACAATAAGAACAAAAACAAAATAAAAACAATAAAAACAAACAAACAGGAACAAACATCAACTTCCTGTTTGTTCTACAACACACACCTACATAAACATGAAAAGTTTTACACAAAGATTGTTTGAGGTCTACTTTTCAGTCTGCATTTCGGTCTCCTATAAATGACAGCAGTGTGAGGCCCCGCCCCCTCTCAGCTCTCTGATTGGACATGTATTGTTCCTGATGTGCGTTAATGGTGGTGTTCTGACCTTCGTTTTTGTCGATCTTGTTGATCATGCGGCGAAGCGGCTCGATGTATTTGGACAGCTGTTTGAGTTTCTCCATGTACTGCTGGTCCTCCAGAGACGTGGCTCCGGCCGGACTCATCACCAGGCTGGGGTTAACTGCACACAGGAAGTGACACGCTCAACGTACAGGCACTTCCTGAGGAGCTGTTGACGTGACAGGAAGTGCTCCAAGTGCGTTACCTGGAGTGTTGAGCGGTCCTGGTGACGCCACTCCATGGCTTGGCTGGGGGGTCCTGGAGGAGGCCGGGCTGGGGGAGGGCTGAGGGGACGGGCTGGGCTGGAAGCCCCCCGGAGACGGGGTTGGACCGGAGCTGAAGGGAAGAAGCTGAGAGGGTTAAACTGCCCAGCAGCAGGTGGAGGGGCGGGGCCTCACAACACCTGTTTTACCTGGCCGAGTTGGGCTGGGAGGAGGGGGGCTGTGGTGACGGCTGAGGGGGAGGCGGCATCTGTGGCGTAGGCACCTGCACAGGTGAGGGTGATGACATCATAGTGTGCTGCACCTGTGGAGGTGATTGGGGGGTAACGGAGGTGGTGTCCAGGTAAGTTTGTCTCAGGTGGATTTAATTTTAGAACATACTGTTTTCATGTTTCTCTTTMTTATTCTATCACTTTTCCACTCGTTTTTCTGCATTGGTCTCGTTCCACATTTTATGTTACATTTCAACAATACTTCAAAACGTTCAGCTCATTTATGCAACTTCCTGCTATGACTGGGTTTTTCAGCTGTTTCCACGTTTTCAGCTGTTTATACGTTTTCAGCTGTTTATACGTTTTCAGCTGTTTATACGTTTTCAGCTGTTTATACGT